ACAATCTGCTGGACGATGGTGGTGTAGGCAATGATTTTATGACCAGAACCCCAACCACAGAGGAAATATAACAAAGAATCAACAACTGGGATCACATCATATTAAAAAGCTTTTGCACAGCAAAAGAAACCACCAACAGAGTGAAGAGGCAATGGGGCCAGGGATTTAGCTCAGTGATATACGGCCATCTGCCTCGAGAGCGGAAGGTCTGGAGTTTGATCCCTAGTTAAAAAAAAAAAAAAAAAGGCAACCCACATAATGGGAAAAAGTTTTTGCCAACTATTCTTCAGACAAAGGATTAATATGTACAATATATAAACAATTTTTAAAAATTCGAGCACTGTTGCATGGTAGCACACAGTTGTAATCCAGGCACTCAGGAGGCTGAGGCAGGAGGATTGCTGTAAGCTCGAAGCCAGCTTGGGGTACACAGTGAGATTCTGTCTCAAAAAACAAAAACCAAAACAAATCAGAGCCCCTAAATGTAAAGTTCCATTCCAAAACATGGGCATCTGAAATGCATAGACACTTCTCACATGAAGTAGTATAAACAGCAAATAAATATATGAAAAAAATGTTCAGGGCCAGGGATTTAGCTCAGTGGCACTGTGCCTGCCTTGAAAGTGCAAGGTCCTGAGTTCAATCCCGAGTACCAAAAAAAAGGGAAAAAAATCAACATCACTGGTCATTTGAGAAATGTAAACTAAAATAACACTGAGGCTACATCTCACTCCAGAAAGAATGGCTATCATTAAGAAATCAACCAATAGCAAATGTTGGTGGGGCTGCAGGAAAAAAGGAACCCTTCTCCATTGTTGGTGGGAGCGTACTCAGGTGCAACCACTGAGGAAATCAGTGTGGAGATTCCTCAAAAACTAAAACTAGAGATTCCATATGACCCAGGTATTCCCCCTTCAAGGTGTCTTCTGGAAAGAGTTAGAAGCACCATACCACAGCCATATATGTGTACCCATGTTTATAGCAGCATAGTTTGTAATAGCTAATTTTGGAAACAGCCCAGATGCTCATCATTGGATGGATAAAGAAAATGTGGTTTTTATATACAATGGAGTACTACTCTGCCATAAAGGGCAAACTTGAGTAATTTTTAGATAAAAGGATGCTTCTTGAGAACATAATTTTAAATGAAATAAATTGGACACATGGTTTAAATATTGCATTGTTTCTATTGGGTGAGAAACCAAAAGGGTGAATAATGACCTAAATGGATGACAGATATTGGGAAGTAGGAAGAAAATGTTCAAATGGGAAGGCAAGCAAGGGAGGGGAGAGGAGGAAGAAAGTCAGAAAAAAAGAGACTAGAAGGAGAAAAACGGAAACAAAGTTTTTGTAAATGAGGAGGGGACAAAGAGTTGAAGGGAGGGGAGGGGAATGGGGAAAAAAAGAAGAATCAAGATATATTATGTACAGGTACAAATACCCTATGACGAATGCAATATTTTTGCATATCAAAAGTGTGCCAATAAAATTAATTTTAAAAATTAATTGGGAGGAACTTGGGAAGCTAAGGCAGGAGGATTACCACAAGTTCAAGGCCAGTCTGGGCTACATAGTGAGTTTAAGGCCAGCTTGACGCTGCCTCATAAAAACCTTGTGTAGTGATATAGCTAAGGCAACCTTAAAAATAGACCAAGAGGAGGAAATACCCTATCAGATATTAAGATACATTACTGGCAGGGTGTGGTGGAGCATTCCTGTCTTCCCAGCATTCAGAGGCTGAGATAGGAGGTGATTTTGAGGCTAGTCTGAACTACATAGTGAAACCTTGTCTCAGAACAGAAAAAAGGATACATTATAAAACGTTAAAACCAGAGTGGCATTAATGCAAGAACAGATATAGACCTATGCATGCATGTGTGTGTATCATAATGTACATATGATAAAGGGGGCCTGGTAAATAAATGGGAAATGCGGGAATTTTTTAGCACAGTATTTGATGGTGGGAAATATGGCTCAGTATATGAAAAAAACCCTGTATCTCTTTTAAGAGTGAATTCTAGATGGATTAAAAGCTAAATTTGAAAATTAAAAAAAAGATAAATTTGAGAGCTGGGTGTGGTGACACACATGTGTGCAATAGCAGGCCCTGAGAGGCTGAGCCAGGAGGATCATCATGAATTTGAGGCAGCCTGGGCTACATAGTAAGTTCAAGGGTAGCCTGGACTACACAGTGAGACCCTGTCTCAAAAAAACCAAACCAAAACTGGCTGGGAACGGTGGCGCATGCCTGTAATCCCAGCACTCTGGAGGATGAGGCAGGAGGACTGCCATGAGTTCAAGGCCAGACTGGGCTACATAGTGAGTTCAAGGTCAGTTTGTGGGACTGCATAACTCTGTAATCATAAAACTCCCCTAGCCCCAACCTGATTGAATGTGAGTAAATAGATAAAGATGCTCTTAGTTCCAGGACACTAGATAAGATCTGTATCAGCTATAATTATTCAACTCTTTGTTCAAAAACTCATGTTCAGACACTGCTATCTATAGAACAATCTACAAAACATCTGCTGACCATCAGTACTTGTCAGGCTAATTAACATGCAAGTGTAAGACCACTAACCTTTGTTCCCTCTTCTGTAAATTTCGCCTGTTAACGTCCCTGCAACCCCCTATAAAAAGAGCCTCGGACTCTGGGCTGATCGCCTCTCTAAGCTACTTTGCTTTGGGAGTGCCGTCTGCCAACTTGTCCGGTGTGTTCCTTCCCGGGTGTTCTTCGCTGCAGTCAGCTCCTTGGAGCATTTGGTAAGGCCCTTGGTCTTACATTCTGGAGGCACCGCTGGGATCCCTGGGTGCGCTCCACTACAGTCAGCTCCTTGGAGCATTTGGTAAGGCCCTTGGTCTTACATTCTGGAGGCACCGCTGGGATCCCTGGGTGTGCTTCACTATAGTCAGCTCCTGGGAGCCTTTGGTAAGGACAGCGGTCTTACAAGCTAAAACTACAAAGTGAGACCCTATCTCCAAACAAAACAAAACAAAATACACCCTAAATTTGAAGGGTAAAACTATCAAGTTAACAGAAAGAAAATAAATGCAGAATATTTTTGTAATTTAGGAGGAGGGATATACTTTTAAAATAAAATCCCCAAACCAAAACCCACAAAATGTAATCCCAGCAATCGAGAGGCTGAGTTAGGACTGTGAGTTCCAGGTCAGCCTGGGCTACATAGATGTATTCTCATCATATTCTAGGCTTTCCAATCTATTGAAACCAGGGGCACTTGGTTTGCTTACATTTTTGAAGAACAAGTCTAACTGAAACATGCGCGGAGATGTCTCTCTCAGTGCTTGGATGTTTAAAAGCATCTCTCCTGTACATTTTATATGATTTTTATCGTTATCTTTCTTTTTGTTTGTTTTTTTGAGACAGGGCCTTACTTTGTAGTACAGGCTAGCCTTGAACTCTCTATGTAGTCCAGGAACTCACTATGTAGCTCAGGCTGGCCTTGCACTCCCAGTGATCCTCCTGCCTCAACTTCCAGAGTGCTGGGATTACAGGTATGTGCCACCATGCCTGGCTATTGTTATCTTTCACATTGCCAGGGTATCCTCTTATGCAGACTAAGGATCTAGTTTTATTTTTCTCTTTATGATGAGCCAAATTTCCCAATATTCATGGTATAGGCCATAAACTCATTCATTTAACAAGCTCGTTGAAGCCATACTTCTACCATTTTTTTTTTTTTTGGTACCAGGGATCAAACTTGGGTCCTTGTGCTTGCGAAGCAGGAGACGAAACCATTGAGCTAAATCCCCGGCCCCGACTTCTACCATTTTTATGCAGGGTCTGGTTGAAGGCTCCAGCACATACAGCCCCTTTATAATAAGGAAGTCCATTTTCCTGTGGAAATAACAGCTACATAATCAGGACAGCGTTAAGTATTTGGTACAGTATTAAGTGATAAGTACTAGGTTAGCTGTATCAACAATGTGCTCTGGGTTTGTTACTCAATTGGGGAACTCAGGGTAAGTTTTAACTTCCCAGAAGTGACAGGAGTTAGGTCTTGGAGAAAAAATGCAGAGGGGAATGTGAAGATGGCCAGGTCTGGGGTCCAGAGGAACTTTGTGTCTTTTGCGTGACAGGTGTGAAGGCTCACATGGACATATGGGTAGTGAGTCCAGCAAGAGTAAGAGGCAGGAGGGCAGAGGGAGTCATTTTCAGCCTGAAAATGCCTATAGTGGAGGAACTTATCCTAGGGGTAGAGCCCCACCTCAAAGTTTAGGCTTGAAGAAGAAGAGGCTGGAATTTAGTGATGAGGAAGTCATTTTTCAGACTTACATTTACTGTTTTTAAGGGCATATGTCACTTTGTCAGCCAGGTCAGAAGGTCCTCGAGATAATTTCCTTAGAAACTTTTACTTGCCCCCATTTCTAAGATATAAATTCACTCATTTCTGCCAACGGTGTTCCAACATTCAGAGAAAGAGGTGAGGAGGTGGGGAAAGGGTCACATGGGTGGGAGAGGATTCCAGGTTTCAGGTTTCTCCTCTGGCTGGGCAAGGTCATGGGTCTGAGCTTCTGCATAAAGTGCTGGGAGTGTTGCCTTAAGGTTTGTCTGGAATCCTACCAGCTAGGAAGGTTGTTGGGAACAGCTAACCAATTCATTTCAGGTGGGAAGCTCTCGGCCAGACCTGCGACCCAGCGGCCATTTTCTCACACCATGTCCGTCGCCATCTTCCAGGCAGACAAAGACACACCCCCACCCTCGTCTGATACAGGCAGCGGTCGCCTGCCTGCTCACTAACAGGCACATGCATTTTTAGTTCCAGACAGAAGCCAGCAGACAAGATTTCGTCTTGCTTGTAGGTTATAAGGCCACAGGATCAGATCCGTCACTTTCTTCATTACTTCCGCACCTTCTTCCTTCCCCTTCAGCTGTTTCTTTATCTACCGTGCAGTCAGGAGGCGGGGCGACGAAGGTGAAGAGGGACTAGCTGGCGTGAGCGGTCCAAGCGAAGCCCAGCCCCGCAGAGGACGCACAGTAGGCGGAGCCTTGTGCCGCGAGGCTGGGATCCGGAAGTCGGAGCTTCGCGACTCGCGCGCCTCTCTTCCGCCGTCCTTGTTACACTACTTTCTCCTCTCAGATCTCCGCCGGAAGTGTAGGTAAGAGATTACTTTTCTCTTTTCTCTTGTTGATCGGTCTCTCACCCAGCCTGCTGTGCAGTTTGGATCGTCTGTCTGAGGTTCAATTAGAGATGCTGGCCAGCCTGAAATAAATAAAACGACTGGCTCCAGGGTTGAAGGGCCCAGAAGAGGGGCAAGGATTGCTCTGCAAGTGGAGGTGGCGCTGAATTACACTATCGCGGGGTAGAAGGGTACAGTCCCACCCACACGTAGGAAAGTGTAGACCGCAGACATACTGTGTAGAGAGTCACAGACCTCACTGTGGACCCCATAGGGTCAGTTGCCCTCCGTCCTTCAGGACTGTGAGGCTCCATGCCTCGTTACTCCCTCTGGTGTAGACAGGCGTTACAACCCAACGGGAGTGTGGCGACGTCGCCCACACTGTCTTGGGACAGAATGTCCATTACACAACTGAGTAGCTCAGACCTCTTCCTGTTTAAGACACACTGATTCGGATCGAGGCACATTCTCCATCAGGACAGAAACTTTGATATAACGCCCTCCCTCCAGTCCAATATAGAGGAGCTCAGAAAATCGTAATATACAGGAGGAAACTTAACTTCCCTGATTTGAGACCTTGAGCCCTTTTGTCTCCTCCACTCCTTCGGAGTGACTAATTGATAAAAGTCCCACCCCCACTCTTGCAGAGCCGGTAGATCACTCACTCCTGAAGTGGTTAGAGGCACAGGTCTTAGCCTGTGGAGAACCACTTCCCCCTTCTCCTGGTTAGGATGAGTTCCCATTGTGGAGAATTAGGCCCGACTACTACCCCATAAACAAGTGCTATTTTACTAAATCTGTAATGGCCTACCCCCAAATCATCTCACAATAAACAGAAGCAGACCTTACTTTCTGAAGGTTCAGTTAGATCTGACCCTCTAGAGACCCTCAGGGTAGGGGACTCATTTTCTTCCTCTTGAGGTAGACACAGACCTTTCTAAGGACTCACTATCACCAAATGTAGCCAAGGGCCACTGAAGCAGATATACAGCTCCCACTCCTATAATGTCGAGATGCAGTGACATCACTGATTACCCTACAGTGCAGTGCATGTGGACTCTTGTCTTTACTCAAGGTACAGTAGTTCAGATTTGTTTCTTCTCACCCAGGGTAAAATGACAGATCCTCTCAATGTAGGATAAATCCATTGAATTTGTAATTGTATTGCCTTCTGCTTTCTCACCCCTGACCCGTGCCTGCAACTGGAGCCCCTATTCTCTTCAATGTTAGTGTGCTGCTGCTGACTTCAACCCAGATAAAAGATAAGCAGATAATACCAATCCACCACCCATGGAAAGGTTCAGAATCAGTTCCTTTTTTTTTTTTTGGTATTGGGAATCGAACTCAGGACCTTGCACTTGCCAGGCAGGCATGGTACCACTGACCTAAATCTCCGGCCTCAGAATAGGTTCCTACAAAAGTGTATACACCACTCATTCAAAGCTGCATAATTTTCCACCTTTATTAGTATGGCATTGATGTCATCTCATCTTGAAATCAGTCCTGCCTGTCTATGGTAAAGAGACGCAAGACCATTCATTCCCCTTCCAACAATTTAGAGATACATGGTCCTCAGTTTCTCTTCCATGCAGCAGAGGTGCATATAGCCACTGTGTTAATTTCCATAGTTTCTTTTTGCCTTAGAGTTGAGGGACAGATGGCAGCCCCCCAAATGCCAGGATGCAGACTCTAGCCATACACACAGAGGCACAGATTTTACTCCCTCTAAGATTTTTTTTCTTGAGAAAGGGTCTCACAATGTAGTTCAGTCTGGCCTTGAACTCCCTATGTATCTCAGGTTGGCCTTGAACTGCAGCAATCCTCCTTCCTGAGGCTCCTGAGTGGTGGAATCATAGGCATCTGCCACCATGCCCGGCAGCTCCCCTAAGATTTTGCACAGACCTCAGTCAACATAGACCCTGGTTTTTTGTTTTGTTTTGTACCTTCCAGAGCATGTCGAACTAAGAGACCTGTTCTGAGGCTCTTTTTCCTCAGGGTAGACTCCTCAGATCTATCCCCACTGTCACTTCTTCCAAGGGTAGATGAAACATAGAACACTTTACTTGGGAAAAGACACTGCGTATTATCACCTCACCTCATGAAGAAACAGACCATGCTTGCATGCTCCTCTCAGTATGGAACGGTTTAGAACTAGTCCCTTACCTAGTGCATAATACTATAAGACAGTGGAATAAGGATCAAAGACCCTATTGAATACATTGAGGCACAGACTCCACCCAGGAAGAGAGGTTCAGACCTACCCCTCTCTTTGGGTAATGTGATACTGCCTTTCCTGTGTGCACCGAGCCATATCAGGCTAGCTCCAGTATACCTTCTCCATTTCCCTACTTGTTAGAGCTATTTTGACTTCTTTTTTTGGTGCTTTGAGAGGGTCTTGCTATGTAGTTCAGGTTGGCCTTGAACTCAATATGTAGCCTAAGCTGGCCTCAATTCGTGGTGATCCTCCTGCTTCAGCTTCCCTAGTGCTGGGATTATAGGCGTGTGTCACTCACTACACCTGGCTTATTCTGACATTTTACTTTACCTTTGGGTAGTTGAGAAGGGGGCTTGTGGCACTGTGGTTTCCAGGTCTGTCTTCAAATTGCTGCTTCTATTCTGACAGGAAGAAAGTGGGCATATTTGAACTTACCTGTGTCCAAGCTGGTTGATCATCATGATGAAGTTTAGACACAGTGAGTTTCCTTTTCCTCTTGCTCCTAATCCTGTATTTTCAATGAATAGTCATAGTATTTCACCACAACTTAAAAAATATATTCTTAATATCATTTTTAAAATTAGTACATTTTGTGCTTGCTTTGGCAGCACATATACTAAAATTAGTACATTTTGCAGTACATAATGATTACATTTACTGTGAGGCGTTTGTACATGTACATAACACATCTTATTTTTAGCCCCCTTCCTTTTTCATCCCTCTCTGTTGCCCCCAACTGTTCTTCCCCTTCCCATTTGTAAAAGCTCTATTTCCATTTTTTTTTTTTTGAGACAGGGTCTTGCTATGTAGTTTAGGCTGACCTTGAACTCCTGCCCAAGCCTCCCAAGTGCTGGGATTATAGGTGTGCCACCATGCACAGCTGCTATTTTCATTTTTTCTTCGACTCTTTTTTAAATCCCTTTCTTCCCCCTCCCCCATCTCTTGTTTCCCTTCCCATTTGAAAAGGATCTCCCTATTTGCTGTTACTTATCTTTTATTTTTCTCTTTACTTATGCTTTGTTCACTACAATTTTTAAAAATTGAAGGCTGGCATGGTGGCTCACGCCTGTAATTCCAGCATTTGGGAGGCTGAGGCAGAAGGATCACCATGAGTTTGAGGCCGGCCTGGGCTACATAGTGAGTTCAAGGCCAGCCTGAACTATATAGCATAGCAAGACCCTGTATCAAAAAAAAAACAAAACAAAAAAATTGCTCAGTATGTTATAGATCACTCACCCTGGGTCTTTTACATATCACATCATGCTTTCCTCCTGAGTCTCTTTATAAGTATGTTCCTCATATTCCCATTCCCATTTTACACATGAGAAAATTGAGACTTAGCAAGGTTAAGTGATTTGATCTGAGGCTAATAGTGGTAGATACTATATAGCACTACATAATGTGGCATAACTTTTTTTTTCATAAGTTATTCCTTTATGTTGTACTATATGTTGTACCATGGCTATGAGCATGACCTTTGGAGCCAAACTAGGTTTGAATCTCAGTGGACTCACTCACTTAGCAGTCTGTGTGTGTGTGTGTGTGTGTGTGTGGCCTTAGGCAAGTTGTTTAACTCAATTTTCTTTATCTACAAAGCAGAGGTAATTAATTATAGCATCCATCTACTAGCATTGTTGTGAGGATTTGTTTTTTGTTGGAGACAAGGTTTTGCTGCATTGTCCAGTTGTCCAGGGTGGTCTTGAACTCCTGGGCTCAAGTGAACCTTATTCCTCAGCCTCACAAGTAGCTGGAGTTGCAAGGATTTAATGAGTTTAAAGAGGTAAAATGCTCAGAACAGTGCCTGGCACATAGTAAGCATTCTTTGTGTGTGTGTGTGTGGTTTTTTTTTTGGTTTCGGGAATCCAACTCAGGACCTTGCACTTGCAATGCAGGCGTGGTGCCACTGAGCTACATCCCAGTCCCAACATTCTTTATAAGTACAGTTGTCTCTCTGAATCTGTGGGAGATTGGTTCCAGGACCCCTGGTAGATACCAAAATCAGTGTATGCTCTAATCCCATATATAAAATGGCATAGTACAGTGGATTCTTATTAACTCGATTGGTTCCTGAGGGCTTGTTGTAACTCAATACAACTGAGATCTGGATGTTTACCTGGGTACATGCTATAGATTATATGAGGCAGATGAATCTTCCATTAACCTAATGAACCCAAATTGTTTGTATGTCAGGCTGGTTGTAACTTGAGGGTCCACTGTATTTGCATATAACCTGCACATATCCTCCTTTACATTTTAAATCCCCTGTAGATTACTTATAATATCTACTACAATGTAAATGCTCTGTGAACAATTGTTATGTTCTTGTTTAGGAAATAATGACAAGGAAAAAAATTGTACATTGGACCTTTGACTTATGAACTCAATTAGTTCTCAAGGGCTGGTTGTAACTTAAGTTGGTCTATTGAAGGCTCAGGCTCCTCTACAAAGCCTTCAGAGTCTCCTGTGTACAGGCAGATCTCAGTGTCCTTATAGACATTGGCTTAGGATTTCTCAATTGACCCCATACAGGAAAGGATGCTGTAATGTTCCTTCCAGAATACTTTAAGGCATAAATCTGTATCTGAGACCATGTGGAAATGCAAGTGGCCAGCCTTGGGTTTGTAACTCAAGACTTTGTTCATAAGTTAAAACTAAAATTCCAGTTGTAAACCAAGTTATTTGTATGTCAGGCTGGTCGCAACTCGAGGGTCCACTGTACATGTTCAGTACAGACACAGGGTTTTTTAGTTACTGTTTATTTAAGACAGGGTCTTGCTATGTAGTGCAGACTGGCCTTAAACTCACTATGTAGTTGAGGCTGGCCTCCACCTCTCAGTGATCCTCCTGCCTCAGCCTCCTGAGTGCTGGGATTACAGGTGTTTGTCACCATGCCCCTAGCCTTTTGGATATTTTTGAACTGCAGATGGTTGAGTCCATGGATGTGTAACCCATGGATATGGAGGGTCAATTTTACTGGCTTAAAAAATTCAGACTCCTTACTTCTTTTTGGAATTTCCTGCCTCATAAGGTGCATTCATTATGCTGACACCAAATTGTTTTCTGACCTCTCTGAGCTTTGGAATTTTCTTAACTGTTGGACAGACCGTGTGAATCAGTTGCTACTTTTTAGCCTTCAGGACTCCTGCCTCATCCTTCAGTTGGATAATTCCTACTTTCCAGATTTTAACTTATACAGCACTTCTTCTGGGAATCCTCAGTTAACCTCCTTCCTTGATTTCCACTCTGTACCCACAGGGACTGGGGCTATTGACGCTGTGCAATCAGGTCTGTCTTCACTACTATACTGTCTCATCCACATCTGATTCGTCATTGACTCAAGGGCCCAGCATGAGCAAGCATAGTTTTTTGGCACTGTGTGCCAGGCACTGTTGTCTCAGTAATGCTGACTCAGTTTCCCCTCTTCCCACCATGATGCCTACAGCCTAGGAGGAGAAGACGAGTCACACAGATTCTTCCTAAAAAAGGGAAGGCAAGGACATCAGGACAGGTATACTTCTGGGCTTCCCTGTCTTTATCCTGCCATAGTCCACATGGGAAATGATGACATTTAGATCACACATTCAGTAGACTTGATGAGAATTGTACAACCTAGTGACCCTGTATTCTATGTGAATGGTGGCCATGCCTATGTAGAGCTTGGTAAAAAAAAAAAAGAATTTTTTTTTTATATAATCATAAGAGATTTCATCATGAACCAGACTATGTTAATACCCAAAACAAAGAATAATTTTTACACGGTACACATGACAAATGAACAAAAGTATACTTACTTAGGAACATTTAAAATCAGATGATAATAAAAATACTGATAGTGGGCCAGGGATTTAGCTCAGTGGTTCCGCCACCTGCCTCACAAGTGCAAAGACCTGAGTTTGATCAGTACCAAAAAAAAATACTGATAGTGAAGTCAAGTGTGATGATGTACACCTGTAATCCCAGCACTCTGGGAGGCTGAGGCAGGAGGATTTTAAGTTCATGTCCAGCTTGGGTATCTTAAAGAGACCCTGTTTCAAAAAAAAGGGGAGGAGGCTGAGGATGTAGCTCATTGTGAAGGCCCTGGATTCAGTCCTCAATACTGCAAAAGAAACAATCTGTTGATGAAAAAGACAGTAACTCATGAAATAAAGTGGGATATATGTATACATAGGTATCCTGTCAATTTAAAAAATGAAGTACACGAAAAGATTATTTGGAAAAACTATTAGATGGAAAGATTTCTAGGATATTTTGTTTTGTTTTGACTTTTGGTTTTTTTATACAGGGTCTCACTGTATAGTTCGTGGCCTTGAACTCACTATGTAGCCCAAGCTCATGTGATCTTCCTCAGCCTCCCGAATGCTGGGATTACAGGCATGTGCCACCATGATCGGTGTTCTAGGATTTGTTAAATGAATAAAAGCAAGTTGCCAACAGGACTACACTATATTACCTTTTATGGGAGAAAATGGGGATAAATAAGATTGTGTTAGTATTTGCATAAAGAAACTGCATGATACCCAATAAATAAAGTGAGTGGGGCATGGTGGTGCATGCCTGTAATCCTGTCACTCAGGAAACTGAGGCAGGAGGGTTGTCATGAGTTTGAGACCAGGTTGGGTTACACAGTGAATTCAAGGCCAGCTTGAACTACATAGTGAGACCCTGTCTCAAAAAAACAAAAAAAAAGTGGCATGGGGGACTACAGTGGATAGGGACAAGTACGGGGTTGGGGGAAAGCCTCTTAAAATATACTTTTTTTGGCCATGCTGAAGATTGAACCTAGGCAGAGCTTTACATGTGGTAGGCAAGTGATCTACCACTGAGTTATACCCTCAGTCTCAAAACATTCTTTTATTTTTGCTTTTTTTCCCCACACTTTTAATTTTGGAGCCATGTGATGATTACCTGTTATAAATGAAGAAGAGTGGGTTGAGGGTATAACTGGTAGAGTGCTTGCCTTAGCATGTGTGAAGCCCTGTGTTTGATCCTCAGCACTGAAAAGAACCTCCTACATTAGTGGAGGAATTGTGAAAATTAAGTAGATAAACTTCACATGTGCCTACACAACAAAGACCTTCACTGGTAAGTTGCAACTATAGTAATGAGTAGATTAAGTGACTGATTGCTGGGCGAAATGAGGGAAGGTGCTGTGTGTTGTAGTTACCTGTGATCTAGGATGGCCTAGCACCCAAATAATAATTAAATCTGGGAAGGTAATCAGTCCTGCAAAGAGTGTTCAAATGGATTTTTTTGTAGTGCTGGGGATCGAACCCAGGGACTTACGTGTGCTAGGCAATTGCTGTACCACTGAGCTGCATCCCTCAGCCCTACAATTTTATTCACTTTTTTTTGTACCGAAGATCGAGCTCAGAACCTTGTGCTTGCGGGGCAGGTGGTGGCACCACTGAACTAAATCCCCGGCCTCCTAATACAATTTTAATGGTTGTAATTTATTGTGTGTGTGTGTGTGATTTTTTTTCCCTGGTACTGGGGCCTGAACCCAGGACCTTTACACTGAGCTATGTCCTAAACCCCTTTTAAGAATTTTTTTTTTATTTTGAGACTGGGTCTTGCTATGTTGCTAAGTTGCCTGGGCTGGGCTTAAATTTGCAATCCTCCTTCTTCAGCCTCCAAGAATGCTGGGATTGCAAGCATGCACCACCATGCCTGACTTTGAGTGGTTATTTAAAGGGGGACTGTTTTATTACTTAGTTTATAAATCGTCAGTGTTGGTGGTGACAGGTAATCCATAGAAGCAGCCTGCCTGCCTTCTGGCTAGTTGATAAACAGTGGTAAAGGTATCTAGTGGGGTGGTGGAGGGGCAAGGGAATTGAGGCGTTTTGCAAAAGTGCAATTGTAGTGATAGCCTAAGGGGTATTAGCTGGACCTGGAGGAAAAAGGAGTGGGTGATGAATCAGGAACTGAATAGAGGATTCAGGTTTCTAGGAGGTTGGATAGATGAGCTTGAAATTAGACATTTTAGATATACGTAATGATAACATTCATCATAGGAAATTTGTACCTGCTCATGGTATATCTTGCTTTTTTCCCATTCTCTTCCCCTCCCTTCAACCCCTCTTGCCCTTGTTTTTCTCAGTTATTCTTTTTTTTAAAATAAATTTTATTTTATCCCATTTCCCCCTCAACCCTCAGTACTTTTTGAAACAGAGAAATCTGACACATTCTCATTCATTATAACTATTATGTCTGGTCAAATTTCTCCCATCTTATTTTATATTTATTTTTTGTTTCCTCTTTTTATTCCTTTATTTTTTGCTAAACTGACCAAGTTTTTAAATAATACTCCATCAGTAATTAAAGTTACACTAGGAATTGCATTCATATTTATAACAAACGTAATTGAACTTGTATTTTCCTGTCATTTTGCAAATGTCAAATAGTAGCTGTTTTCATCCTACACTTCTAGAGTGAAACCTCTGGCATGCTTTCAAACCTTTGCTTTCCTAATGCCCATTGCTTGATTCTTTGTTGTAATTGGTATTTTAGTTCTGATCTATTTTTTATAATATGCTTCCTGGATATTAAGAGTCTTTTTGTTTGTATATTATAGTTCTTAGCCACATCACTAGCTCTCTTTCTTAGGCTTAATGATCACTTGAAATAGATTTCATGTCTACTATTATGTGTTTCCTTTATATTGAGCTCTTTATTCTGATTTAACTTTTGTATGTATATATGTATATATGTATGTATTTATTTAGAGACATGGTCTCGCTATGTAGTTCAGGCTGGCCTTGAACTCACTATGTAGCCCAGGCTGGCCTTAAACTCAAGGTGATCCTCCTGCCTCAGCTTCCCAAGTTCTGAGATTACAGGTGTGCACCACCATGCCCGGTTTAGGAGCTTTCTTTGTTGTTAAATCTTTTTTCCCCCCAGTGCTAGGGATTGAACCCAAGGCCTTACACATGTGGCTCTACAACTGAGCTACACCCTTTTTTTTTTTTTTACATAATTTTTTTTTTGAGCCAAGGTTTCACTATGCAATTCAGGCTGGCCTCAAACTCGCCAACATGCCCGTCAGCACGCTTGTTAATTTTTGTTTTGTTTTGTTTTGGGGTTTTTTTTTGGTGTTTTTATTTTTTCTTCTTTTATTGGTACATTTTAGGTATACAACACACTCACATTTCTCAATGGGAACTTGTACCTCCACGTGATGCACCTTGGTTCCCATTTTTTCCCCATTCCCTGCACTCCCCTCACCCCTCCACCCTTCCCTATTTACAAAGACTTTGTTTCCATTTTTTCCGTTTTTCATAATCTTTCCCCTCCCTTCCCTCCTTTCCCCCACCCCTTTGGACCTTTTCTTCCTATTTCACATTCTCAACTATTCATTCTAATCATTGGTACATTTTAGGTACACAATATAATGACCTTCATCATTGGACATTTGCACCTTTACATAATCTCTCTTGGTTCTTATTTTTCCCACTTCCCCTATCCTTCCTTCAACCCCTCCATCCCTCCCTATTTACAAAGACTTTGTTTCCATTTTTTCATTTTCTCATATTAATTCCATTCCCTTC